AAAGCACACAGAAAGCATACTACCGCTAGATAGATTGTATGGCATAATATGCAATTGCACACCTTCGGTGGTTTTGAAAAGAGCCGTTTGGGTTTGCTTGAGATATTTACAAACAATACAATACATGAACAAAAAAAAGCATGAACAAAGTACAAACAAACTATGTACAAAGTTAAAAAAGGGACGCCTGGCAAATGTGAAACATCCAAATTATATTTTGTTTAAGTTATATGCATAAAAGAACAGATTACGACAGGAATTAGATAGTTATAATGAGAAGATAAAGCTTTGCTAATTTTTTTCTTTTCGATTCATGATAAACCGTACAAAATGATATTTTTAAACTCATATATCACTATAAATTATCCGATAGCGTATTTGTGCCATCTAGCGTAATCTTTAGGTACCATCGTGAGAATCAACCAATTTTCGTTCGATAAAATGACTTTACGTATAGAATTAAGTAGATGGCGCCATTAAAATTTTATATACTGAAAAGTAGACAGAGAAACCTAACTAGAAATAACTAAAGGGAATACTATTCTTTAGCCCTTCTTTAGCCCACGCGAGCGAGGGAGAAAATTAATCGCTCTATTAAAACTCACTTTATGACAGCAGCAGTATCGCCACAGAGTACCTTTGTACAAAGATTTAAATAGTTAGATGCGCCTTCACCTTGAAAACTGTGGCATTATTTTTGGATGTGTTCGTTTGCAAGACGCTGACGCGCGCACACTAATGCAATAGTGTCATCTCTTATTATCTTACAGAAATTAAGTATACTACTTTCTCTGTCGCACAAATGAGCACTGATTGCGAATGAGTGAGCTCACTCATTTGAGAATGGAAATATTTCGAAGTTGTCATACTATGGTAAGGGCGCATCTAACTATTTAAATCTTTGCCTTTGTATAAACGTATCGCTAAGGCAATACGAGGTCATCGGTCGACATGTGTCGAACAGTGGAGTGCGCGGGAAAATTGAAATAATTTGAAACAGTTTATGAGTTATTTTATTAGTTGATATTATTGATTGATTCAGTTTTAATAAGGCAAGCCCGGCTTTTCGGCTTTTATGGAAGCTTCGCCACTGGTTGCTCGCAACATCTAAGGTCTGTTCAACTTCTTCGGGGAGATTTATGGGTCGAAATACAATATTTAAAGTAAAATAAACTATCTACTATTTTGGTTTTTTCTTTAATTAAAAACAGACGTATTTCAAATCAGATTTCTTATGTTTACAAAAAGCCCAGATCTTGCTCGCTTGCTATCGATCAATTATAAACTAAATATTTGTATGCTGTAATTTAACCAGTTGAAAGAAAGACGTTTTCAAATGCATATTCGGTAAATTTTTGAACATTTTTAAGTTTTAAAGTTTAGTTTTTCACTTTAAAATTTATTTAGATTATTTTAAATAATACTCAAAATGTGTATCTAACAAATTCTGTAATTTATATATGAAAGAAGTATTCCATGATTCAAGTCGAATCCTACTAATTTGAGTGCTCAGCAACCGTAGATGTACATTGCTTATTATGTATCACCTTATATCACCTTATCAACATTTTTAAAGCATTTCGCTAAATATAAGAAAGAGAGCCTAGCTGTTAGCTTTATGCTGCTGTGTTTTTTTATATGGTGAGTGTAGAGAACCGGAGACCCTTTTTACTAGAAACGAGACATTCCATTTTAGTCATCAGGGATGACAACGCATTCTGCATTTGTCTACAGACTACGGCATGGTTGCCGTGCCGTTAAGTGGTCTGAACATCAGGTGAACTCTGTGGTTTTATATATGAGAGGAGGCAAACAAGCATGCGGCTCCCCCGATGGTAAGTGATTACCGTCACCCATGAACAACTGCAACACACCAGGGGAATTGCAGATGCGTTGCCAGCCTATTGTAAAGGAGTAGGCTCCTTTCTTGAAGGTCCTTAAGTCGTATCGGTCCGGGAAAATCGCTGGTAGTAGTCGATTCCACAAAGAAGTGCGAGGAAGAAAACTTCTTGTAAATCGCGCAGTAGTGGTCCGCAAATCATCTAGGTGGTAAGGATGATATCTCGAGTTCTATCGCGATATGCGATGGTGAAATTGAGCGGCTGGAATTAATCCGAACAATTCCTCTGAGCACTCCACGTGGTAAATACGATAGAAATAGGATATAATATATTTCATATACACTGCCGGCCAAAAGTTTAAAACCATACCAAAACAACATAATTATCTATAAATTGTAATGAAATCCCATAAGATAGGAGTAGGAGTCTCATTGTTAATACGCTTGTGTGGAAAGTTTAAATTATTTAAAAAAAATACATAAATTACTTTTTTAAGTTTGTTGAACGAAACATAAAAAAGAACACCCAAAATTGATAAAATACAGAAGAAAAAAGTGATAAACAAACCACCATATATTTTATAACCCCAGGAGTTATGTTATTCCTTTTTACATTAAACGAAATGTGTTGGTCTAAAAATATAGAATCTGTTAATTACTAGCCTTCAGCGCCACCTCTCGTATCGTAACATAGCTATGAATGACCGTCGCGTCATAAAAATATATTGCGTGAATATGACCTCAACCGGTGTAATCAGAGAAATTATACGCTACAGACGCACCAACGATTATTTATTAAATAAAACTTATAGTAACACTTGTCAACTGTGGAAAAAATAAAATCCTTGTTCTTGCCACGCGAATCGTAACACGTCATCACTCCAAGAGAAGCTTAAGAAAGTTGAGATAACAAATTGAAGCGCTAATTTTTAAAACTATAAATAATAACATAATGAAATAATAACATAAATGAAAAAAAAAATAGAAATTAAAATTGCTTTTAATATTTATAAATCTTAAAGGTGTATTTCGTAACGTTCTTTGAAGTAAGGAATATTGTCATTTAGTTTCCCAATCACGATAGCTACCTGGGAACACTGGACGTGTCCTGGAACATTCGAGGAAGGCATATTGTGCACGTTGTGCTCGTTAATGACCGGTAAGTTTGCGATATGAGTCTTCAGGTGTTTTGGTTTCAATCACATTTGGTGGTTAGAATGGAAAGGGAGCGGTAGACTCATGACACGCTCTGCGGCTAGTAGCCGTGCTGATCATGCAATTGGTGGTGATGCCATACTCTTACATAACGTCTGCAGGAACAGCGGTCTGGCAGGTTGTGACACTTACGGAGGGCTTTTTATGGCCAGTGTGCCTATTATTTGACGTGTTACCTAAACTGTGTGACGTACATTTACTGTGGCTGGATTTGATCGTATTCTGTATGGCCTTTACATGCATTAACATACGCTTCTTCGGTCGATGTTTGTGCTTACGCACTACAAGGGACCAAGCCCTCTTTTACTGGTTCCCCAGTTATGTATCTGTGGACTAGGGTCTAGTTCCCAACTTAACGTCCTCTTCGGGGGGAGGGCGTTAGTTAGTTGGCACTCACAAAACACGGCGTGTGTGTAGCCGTGTGCCTCCCCAAAATTTTTTAATGTAGGATAGCGAAGCCCTTGTATCGGGTATTTTTATGTAAACCTGATACAAGTGGAATAGGGACAATTTAATGTTCTTAAACTTTCTCGAGCCCTGTCTTCGTTATCGTTGTTCTTTTTCCAAAAGACACCTATAAGAACTAACTTACTAAATACTATAAACGACCTATAACTAAACCTTCAGAAAAATCATTTGGAAAGATCAAAACATTTTATTCTTTCGTTTATTCTGGTCACGTTGACTTAATATTTTAAAATAAAAAAGTAATATTCAAGTAAGAATTTGAAGAACTAACTTCGCTAGTAGGTACTTATAATAGTACTAGTACAGATAAATCTAAACGACATTGACACTTAACAGGATAAGCCAATTTTTAACTATTGCGGTATTTACTCAATAGAGCAAAGAGAAGAGGAATACAGAGTAATGGATACGCGCGAATTGATGGAAAGGCTTGCAGCCGTGGCTACCACACCATAAGCCACTAGTGAATTAATAGTCGGCCACATTGTTGGCCTGAATTCGAGGACATCCCCACTCTAAATGCGGGGAGATGGTGAACTACAAGGGAAGAGGCGACTTTGGACCCCGCGGCAGATCTTAGTGAAAATAGTATTGATTTTAAGAGAATACTTCAGTGACCCTAACGTGCAAATCTATGGTTCATAAAAGATAGCTTGATCTCTGCGACAGCTGTCAGTAAAAATCACGCCTATGAAGTCCTGAATTTAGAATTAGTAGTACAGACAGTACCTGTCAACGTCATACTTTATGGGCATGCCGACCTATTTATTGCATGCCCATAAAGTATGACATTGACAGGTACTGTCTGTACTACTAATTCTAAATTCAGGACTTCATAGGCGTGATTTTACTGACAGCTGTCGCAGAGATCAAGCTATCTTTTATGAACTTTAGTGCTGAACTGAGTAAGTAACTGATTCATGTTTTTGCTATTTATGTGTTTAGGAAATAAAAGGAAACAATAAATAATATTTTGAAAACAATGTACATTCGTGGGATATCTGAGAATAACAGTAATTTTCCACGTCAAATTAAAACCAATATATATATATTATATACCTTAGAAACTAGTATATATATATATATATATATATATATATATATATATATATATATATATATATATATATATATATATACTAGTTTCTAAGAACAGGTAAACAATCACATTTGGACTATTTAGCGGAAACCATGCGTTCAAAGAGCAAAACTTCAACATTATGATGTGATTCATTTAGGTACAATACAATATTACAGCAAGTATAGCTAATAAAAGGCGTAACATGGCGTAAATTCTGAATCGTAATTATTTCGACGATTATTTTTTTATAAAAAATTACCCACGTTTTTTATGATATAAATATCCAAGTCAACAATTTCAAATTATGCTTACAGAACTAATTTAACCGTAGTAGTTCAGTACAATAACAGGCAGGTAACTCTTTTTATACAATATTTGCCTTACGTAAAGTCTCACCTTATCGCCGTCCGTGGGCAGAGTCCCATAGCCATACCAGCTTCTCGCAGGCCTCAACCTAGGTTCGTCCTTAGGTGATAGCAGACCGCTGCCCCACCGTACCACCCCTTCTGCAACAGCCGCCACTCCTGGAGTCCTTGGACTCCCGTTCGGTGAATTCTGTGAAGGTACACTCCTCTCCGCAACAGGAGGTAAGGTCGGCCGAGCGCATCCTATTCTCCTTTCATAAATTCTTTTACATGTGTCATCAGTATCAGTTTCCAGTAGACCTTTTTTGTCGTTTCCGCGCTTTACCTCGTCGGTTTTCTTTAAGTCTTCTTGCCGTTGCGTCCATTTTGGATCGGAATCTCTCCGTTTCGCGCTTTCATTTGACTCCTGCCGACAAAGTAGAGCCTTCTTTAAGCTCTCGCTAGAATCTTGTTTAGTGACGGTTTTTTTGTCCGATTCCTTAACTGCCTTCTTTTCATCTTTGGACAAAAGCGCGCGTTTTAAACTATCCGAGGAGTCTTGCTTATGGATAAGTTTACGCGGACATTCCGTGTTGAGGGAGTCGGTGGTTTTCGATATAAGTAGTTTCGGATAATCGTATGGGGCGTGATCGTTAGGAGGATTTAGCTCTAAGGACCGTCTATTTTTTCGCTTATCGGCTGGGGCTATTTGAGCCTTGACCGGGAGCAGCCGGCGTGGCAGAAGGCTGCGGTGGTCAGCGAGGGGCGATTCTGGACGCAACATTTTGGGCGGCGATGTGGAGCTGCCGCAGAATTGAACTCCCCTGTAACAAAATTAAATAAATTGAATATTATGTTACATGACACCATAAACATACATACTTCTCAAGCGATTACATATAGATATAATTTCCTCCTGACAACGGAGTAAGCTCGTGTCCAGAAGTAGACTTAGCTGATGCAAACACACGAGGGACTATTATAGAAAAATTGTCGTCGTTAATAGAAATAAAACAATACCGTTATTACATACAAAATGTATTAAATGCAAAACAATATATTTAAGTACGTTTGCGAGTACAACAAGATTTAATAACAATTTATTGCAACCTGATGCTACGACCCCGTGTCTCCAGCAGCAGCAGTAAAATAGTACATCAAAATCTAGCTCCTACAAATGATTTTAATTATGTGCCTACCTTGGCAATCGTTGGTTATACGTTTATATATAATCTCAGTGTATATCCATAATAAGAATATATATTTATTACATATTATTTATTATATAAAAACAAAAATCTGAATTAAATAAATAAATTAATTCAAATAATATTCACCCTAATAAATATTTATTCATAACAGGACCATTTTAAGATTTGCATAATCGAAATGCCTAAACGAGCTTCAGGCTCAATTGACTTGTGTGGATTTTACGTATCCTTATACGCAAATCTTACTGTTTAATTGTATATATATCGCCGTTTTAGACAACGTGGCCGGTGTACACTAGTCATTAAAATCGAGCTTACATATTGTAAATCACTTCAATTTTGAAAATCACCTTATAAGTGACACGACGAAAATTTACATTCTTTAAGACAAGTTGGTGTTAAGACGAGGCATGACCCTAAACGCAAGTTTTATAATGCCTCAAAGTATATGATCCACTGCAGTAAACAAACCTAGCAAAATATATGATATTGTCCAGGATATATGCTAGTTATATAGAGTGTTGAAAACATGATACCACTAATTTAATACGATAGAAAAAAATCACAAACATACCTCTGAAAATTTCTTTAACAAGTAAAAACCATACTAGTATACATGCAATTATTCTGTTTTTTGTCAGATTTTTATACATTCAACATATTAACGTTATAGTGTTTTAATTTTTTAATTCAACTAATAGTTTTTTTTAAATCGCATATTCTTATTTCTGAAATAATACGTACGGATGTTTGCGTAAAGCGGGCTACATACGACACGATATCGGTGGCGATCTAGGGTGGAGTAGTGGGGATGCCTCCTAGATTGCCTCTAAATCGTGTCGTATGTAGAGCCATCCTAAGTCGTAGCCGATATCGCCTCCTTAATCGGCTGGCAGGAGCAAAAATGCTTCCTAGATCAGCCGATGCTTCCTAGATCGGGGCACCGCCCCCTCCTTACTGCGTGTGTGTAGGCGCATCGGCCCGATTTCTTTTGGCAGTCGCTGCCGGCAACCCTCGCGGAAAGAAGTTAACAAAACAGTGATACTGAATGACCTTTTTTTATGTAACAAATTTTTTACATTTTAATCATATAAACGGAGTAGAAGCTTATGGCACTGATATTTTACAAAAAACAAAAAAAAAGTGAATAAAATAAATAAATTAATTGAAATTTTATCGAAATTCAAATCATATCCACCCTAGCCTGTGACCCTGCGAAGTGACATGGTCAAGAATGCCTACTAAACTAATTTTTTTATTGCCGTTCGTAAAGTAGAGTGTATGATGTAAGTAAGGAGAAGATAAAGCCTCTCCTCAACAACTAACTCCTATTCCAACGCTATCAACACAAGACCGCACTCATATCTCTTACAACTCCACAAGACCACACTTCGATCTCTTACGTGCCTTCATCCTCTTATCAACAACTAACTTCCACTCCTTCACCATCTTCACATCAACAAACAAGTTATATAAAAGGGAGTATGTCCGAAATTAAAGGTTTCTTTATGTTTAAAAAAAGATATAAGCTATTTTATTTTCTGATAGTTTTACTCCATAAATAAAGATTACATTAAAAAAAAAGTATACATATTATTATACAAAAGTATTTTATTTCCTTGTTTGTTGTGTGTAATACATAACCAGATTTTGACCAAAGCAGAAATGAACAAAGAGAAGAAATAACTAAATAGCATAGGTACATAGGAGAAATTGATGTTTTTATATAAGTGGCGAAATCATTTCTAGAAGGTTATAAAAACTGTCTTCATCCATCCGGAGAAAATTAATCATGTCTTTGGAATACAGATACCCATTTAGTACGTTTATGTGGCTTAATTTTTGTCTCTTTTGGAGCCATTTTTTCACCCAGCAACTCCTCTTTTTCTATTTTCGAATAAATTTACCGAGAGGGCTAATGCCAAACCAATACATTGGTGTTTTAAGAGAGTTGACGCTATTTTGAAGAACTCTACCGCATATGTGTTCCGCTCCAAGTCCGAACGCGTACTGCTAGGCAGGCCCGTGTGTAGGGTCTGCCTCGATAAAAGCCCCGATTTCTTTCCACCCTAGATCGCCACCGATATCGTCTCGTGTGTAGCCCGTTTAAACGCCTGTGCAGTCACTGCCGGCCGAGGCCTGGTGCTGTAGAGACGTGGCGCTCTTTTTGCCGCAGTATTTACGTTAATATTTTTTAAGGACGCGTTTACAAAATTGATATAGGTATAGAATCGAACTATTACATTGACACGGGACACGCACACAAGTGTAGGCACGGTTGGCTGCGGGAATCGTAGTCAAATAAAATTATTTTGATAATTTGAAAGATCAATTTTTTTTTTGATTTCTTATACTTCAAAAATATACTTAGATACATAGAGTAATTAGACTTGATACGAAATACGAATACCTTACTCTAGAGACTGCTTGGCACTGGTAGCCCTCTACTGGCAGTGAGATGTTAGCTGTGGACTTTGGGCTGGTTTTGTCAGTTATGATAAGACCCTACCTCCGGACTTGATGGAGTGACCTGAAGATGAACTAGAACCAATTGAACACCTGATAGTAGAACTGTGCCGGATTTGGGCTCGTTTTGTTAGGTATAATGAGTCCTTACCTCCGGACTTGACGGAGTGACCTGAAGGTGTACTTTGGTAATCGGTATTGGAACTGGTCACCGAGTAGTACTACTACTTAAATACTGACTTAAGAGGGTTTCGTTGTTCCGATTTCTATGTACTTTAAGCACAAGGTAAAATTTAAAGGTTTTAAAAATGGGTGCGTTTGGCAGAAAAAAGCGCTAGCAAGCGTTGTGAGCAAAATGGCGATTAGAAGTCTTATGTCCTGAGGGTTTTGTTTGTCAAGTATTCATATTAAAAACTTACCAATCATGCATTCTTAATAACATGTATATGTTTATTCGTGTCATTATTTTATAATGAGAAAAGAACTTATTTCTTCAAAACAAACAAATAAATAAAATGGCGATGTGTACGTATGAAGTAGCAATCGTGTCCTGGCCGAAACTATTTTAGCGCTTGTAGCGCTTGCTGCGCTTTTTCTGCCGAACGTGTAGCAAGAGACTACTTTGTGATTATTAATGATTTAAACATTTAAAATAAATGAGCTGGACCTATTTATATGCTAATGAATACAGCTGGTGCCCGCGAATACGGAATTTTGTTTACGCACACCACAGTCAAACAAATAGTTGAGACGAAAATAATCAACCAGGTAAATGAACATCGCCTACGCTCACTGAACTTCGATTCACTATTTCCAAGGGCTGCCAATGTAGTGTTTGTTTTATAGAAGGAAAAATTAAAGAAACCTTATTTTAATTATAGATGTGAAGGCGGTTATCAATGATTTCAACCAAGCCGATAACAACGGTCAAATAATTATTATAATAAGATAATTTTATCACACAACTAACGCCCTCATTAGCAATTTAGGTAATGGTGAAAGAATTTTAAAAATCGGTCAAGTACTTTACGAGTTTAGCGAAAAAAACATATTCGTTGATAGTAGCGCCCTCTATAACAAAATGCATTCTAGTTTTCAGTCATAATAGAATTCTAATCGTGAAAGAATTTTTAAATCTGTTAAGTAGTTTTTAAGCACCATTGCAAAAAGGGATTCAGCTTAGCACACACAGTAAAACATAACCATCCTTTTTCATCTGTAGTCGGATAAACAACTGGTTGACAACGGTTGCATATCGGCTGATTTGGATAAATATCCATGTTGATGTTTGTTGTAGTTGCTTTATACCTATAATTTTGATACAGAACATTGACGATTGATTTATCCTACAAGCGTTACTATTAAAAAATTCGTCTAATTAGTGTAGTAGTATAGTATAGTAGTAGTCGATTGAGGTAGAGAATAGAGATCCTTTCATGATGGTACCGCGGGAGAGAGGAATATCGCTCCTCCAGTAGCTGAAATGAGCGGCGACGGAGCCACGAACGAGGAAAGCTACAATGCTTCCGTGTGCTCGTTTTTCCGATCACATCGATTCTGCGTTACAGATTCAGAGAAATTGGGAACGGAGTTTTCTTGCCTCAAGTAGAAGATGCCCAGGAGCGGCTGGCGCTGGTACAACTGCGGATGAGTACGAAAGTGTTCCCGTAGCACTGCCGAAAAGCGGCGTACCCACGCCATATACTTACAAAGTACTTACAAACTGGTGGCCGTAAATAGTATTATCAAACTGAACAACCCTATAATATATTCAATTAGCTTAAATCGACTGTCAAAATGAAACATAGCATGCCTGCGAGGTTTAATGGCGTCAGAGCTATTACTGATTAAAATTTTAAAAATAGGCGACTACAGTCAGCACAAAAGAAAAGAAATTCTGGTAGGTAAATGTCCAATTAACATTTGAAATTTACTAGAATTTCATAATAATATAACGTATTTTAAACTATGTAACAGGTATAGGTATTGTTCTAGAAAACTCAAAAAAGGCTTAGCTCCCAACGCGGCGCCCACGTGCCTTTTCTACATTAATACATTTATTCAATCGTGCGTTTTTATTTAAAGTATAGATGATGGTTATAAGATTGATTATTATCATTGGAAATCATTATGGTTCAATACGTATT